CCGCCCCTGCTCTGACTTGCTGTGTGACCTTGACAAGTCTGTTTCCTGGACTTTCATTCCCCGCCTGCCCCCTCAAAATGAATGGCGAATAGGTTTCCTCATGAGGAAATGGGGAATGGTAGTCATTGGCTAGAGGGCCGTGTTAAGAAAGATTTTGGTGTGGAAGGAAGGAAGGCCACAATTGGTTAGTGATATGGGGGGAGGCGGGGCATGTGGGCCGCATGTTTAACATTTCTGGTCATCACTACAGGAGCCCTGAGGGATCCAGCTCTGATATTTGTGATAGTTCATAGTATCTCTGGACATTTGGCCGTTGTCCCTGTGAGAAAGGGAACTCTCGCTCCATCCAGTGCCGATGACATCATTTCTGAATAACTTCCTTCTTAGAGTCTCTCCTTTGAGACGAAGATCTGAGTCTCGCCCTGTGGCCAGAAGTCATTGTTTGGTGCATTCATTCTTCTCCTCCGTAGATCTGCCTGGAAGCCGCCTGCCCCAGGCGCTGAGCTAGGCCTGGGAGCACCCTAGGGAGCATTTCTAGCACTGCTTCCCAGCACGGCCTTCCTAAGCAGACAGTTAGGGTGGGGGTGGGGGCAGGAATCATGTCTTCCCATTTTGCAGGAAAAACCACAAGGCTTAGAAGAGAGAAGCTGTTTGGCCACAATCACCCTATGGTGGCAGAGCCCCAGGTGGTCAGCCCCAAGAGTGGTCATTGGGTCCCCGGTTGCAAGGTCTGAACTCCCTGCTGGGCTAGACAGATCACTCTGGGAATACGGGGGGCTCTGGCCTGAGGGTGGTGGCAGCGGGTGGGGGGCGTGGGGAGCAGTCGAGTGAGCCCCATCACATTCTCGAGCCAGAGTCCACAGGCCTGGATCTGCCCTTGTGTGTCATTTCCCCCACCCCCACACACACTCCCCAGGGCCTGGGTCAGGCCCAATGAAAACCTCCTTTTGACCTTTCTTTTATTTTAGCTCTGTTCCAAAAATTACAAATGCGTTTGTTCTCTCCTCCCCATGTCCCCCCTTCGAGATACTCAGCTGCTGCTCCAGTTGCAAGGGCTGGAACAGATTTAGTGCAGCCAAAGGGCCGTCACGAGATGCATATTTCAGATGCACTTCCTGAAGAAAGGATAAACAGCCTGACCTGGGATGGGAACGAGTGCTGGTGGGGGCATCATGTGACAGAATGTGCCTCCTGCCAGGACAGGCCCAGCAACCAGGGTTTACTAAACGAGCGAGGTGCCTCGCTCACCTAGAAGCAGTGTGATGGCCACACGCCAGGGCCTCTGGGCATGGGGGCTGCTGCGCTGGTGTCTGTGGGTGGTCTGGGAGCATCCATGCTGACCCGTGTCATTACAGATCTTAGACATCAGAAAAGCAAGAGTCTTGGCTCATGTATGTCATGGTGGAAGTCCTGCCTCTGTCCCGGATCTGCTATGTGACCCTGGACACCTTGTTCAACCTCCACGATCCTCAGCTTCCCCAATTGCAAAATGGAGATTAGAGTAGGGCTCCCCTGGTAGAGGTTATTATAAGGTTTACCTGAGGCAATGTTCACGAAGCCTTTCTGTTCCTCGCTCTTGCCTAAGCACCCACAGCTGGTAAGTGTGGGATCTGGGATTCAACCCCAGCTCCAGAGCCCAAGCTCCTGACCACTCTTGAGCGGTGAGCAAGGCCTGGAAACCCTCTGGGCAATCGTAGTGGTTTTCTCATTGCGGTGGTTGTCATTGTCATGGCCAGCCCTGAAGCTTCCAGCGTATACGCTGCCTGCCTGGGCCCCAGAGTCAGAGGGGCTGGGACGCTGTGGTGGATGCTGTTCTCAGAGGCAGAGAGACCAGCTTCAGGGGCTGGGGGCTGCGTCCCAGGAGTTGGATGCGGGAGGCCGTGGTGTAGAGCTGCTGTCCTTGGTAAAGGGGCCAGGTGTCTCAGGTGGACAGCCCTGTGCCCAAGGTTGCACACTGATGAGCAGCAGAGTTAGGAGCGGGGCTCCCAGGGCAAGGCTCCTTCCAGCATCACCTGCTGCCTGCTCGCAAACTTCTGTGATTCCTGGAGTCGATAACATATTTCTTCGGCATCTGCTATCCCGGCAACGCTGAGCCATCTGATGACTGGGGAAGGATGGGAGGGGATTGGCGGGGGGGTGACGGTGCTGCGTGTGCGGAGCCCAAGGCGTTGGCTAACTGTGTCCCTCTCTGCTCCGCCCGTGCTCCTCACTTCAGATAATCGACAGCGAGAATGAAGCTCTCCTGGCAGCGCTCACCAAGACCCTGGACGACATCCCCGAAGACGACGTGGGTCTGGCCGCCTTCCCGGCCCTGGACGGTGGAGACGCACCATCCTGTACTTCAGCTTCGCCTGCCCCCTCATCTGCACCCCCCAGTCCCAGCCCCTCCCTGGAGAGGCCCCAGGCCCCAGCGCCTGAGGTGGACGAGCTCTCACTGGTGAGAACCTGCTTCTAACTGAAGTGATGGCCGTGGCCTGGGATATGGCGTGTGGTTGCAGGGGTGGTGGGTGCAGGGGAACCAGCTCCCGATCCGGCAGGGGTGTCCGTGCATCTCGGACAACAGGGGTGCCCAGCGGGCAGCCTAGACGGGGCCTCACCTTTCCCACCTGTACGGCTGGCCTAACCATGGAGGCTCCACTTGCACCCCGTAGGTCCTTTGGCATTTTATGGATTGGCCTCCGTGATTAGTCAGCTCTTGAAATTACGTGTGAAAACGTTTTCCTTAAGGTTATACCTGCATACACAGTAAAAATTCAAGCAGGAGATGTGGAGAGTTAAAAGCAAAACCTCCTTACCCATCTCACAACTGCGTTCTCCTTTCCTGGAGGTAACCATGGTTACCTATCCTTTTGGTGACTTTCCTCTTCCACCTTTTTTCTTTTCTTTTTTTTTTTTTTTTACTACAAAAGGGAGCCTACGTTATATGCTGCTCTGCACCTTTTCTCAGGGAACTGGGTGTCTTGAAAACTCAGATGAGCACAGGTGGCTCTGCTCCATACTTTTTGTTAGCTACCTAATGTTCTTTTGTGAGGATGTGCCACTGCTTACTTTACTCGTCCCCAGGTTGGTGGAAACTGACATAGTTCCAGCTCTTACTGTTAATACTGCTTCTGTCAGTGCCCCGGACAGGCCTTTGCCACGTCCAAGTGGATGAATTTCTAGAAATGGAATCTCTGGGTCTACAGCTACCTGAGTTTTCAGTTTAGACAGATATTTCCAGATGGCCCTCCATACAGTTTGGACCGGTTGACGCCCCCCCCTCCCCCTGCCAGCAAAAGTTAAATGCCGTCTGTGTGAGTATACGTGGAATGTGGGAATGTGCACATGAAATTGCAGTTTTCCGGGGAGAAGGTCTCAGCTTTTATCACCTTCTCGAAGGAGTCCAGACCTCACAAGTTACTGAAAGCAGGTGTCCCTAACTCAGGCTGAGATTTCATGGGGTGTGTGAAGCCCAGCTATGCTCACCTATCTTGGGCTCCTCACCTTGGCGCTGAGGTTCCTGGGCCTGACAAGACTCAGGTGGAAAATCAGAGCCTGTTGAGCTGGGGAGGGTCTTAGGTCGTCGACAGTTTGAGTAGAAAGGCCCGTAGTGACCGTCAAGTACAACTATGGGGAAACTGAGGCCCAGAGCAGGGAGGGGACTCTCCCATGGTCACACAGCAAGTTGGTATTCAGACCCCTGGTCCAGGACCCCTTTCCTCCTTTCCCACTGTCTTCAAGTTCCCCCAAAGCAGTGTGAAACATTTAGTAAGCACCTGCTGTATGCTGGGCACAAGACTATGTTCAGTCCCACGTTGTGGCTTCTGCTGATAGGGGTCCTGCTTCCTGTCAGACTGAAATCAGACTGGGTTTGAATCCCAGCCGCACCGGTTAGTTAATGCTTTCCTGTCCTTTAGACACCTAATCTCTCTGACTCAGCTTCCTGGTCCATAGGTGGGGTCAAATAATAGTGCTTATCTCAAAGGCTGATAGGAGGAGTACTGCAGATAATGCATGTAAAGCACTTAGAACAGTGCCTGGTACTTAGAAGTTGCTCAATAAATACTATCTAAGTAATAGTTCTGGCTTGACCCGTTAGTACTAACGAGAGGAAGTCTCAGTGCAGAGGGCTTTGGAGAGGGATCAAACCCAGGGAGGCAGAGAGCGGCCTCTGCTGGCCACAGGTAGTTTCCCCTCCCACACCTCAGACTGCCTTCATTCCACACAGGTTTACTGAGCACCTCTGTTTCAGGCACTGTGCTAGGCACACAGGAAACAGACTCACCATCTAGACTCCCAGCATACCGACAGAGTTCAGAAAGGCCCTGAGAAGTTATCTAGATGCCCAGTTCTTAACCTGGAGCCATGGATCCCAAAGAGTCCACCAATGGACTGACCGGGACCCATGAACCTCTACATGTCCCTGCAGTTTTCTGAGGTCAGCGGCTTCGGTTGTATTCTTAGAGGGGCTCCTGAGTCACAAAAGGTTGATAACCAGTCATTTAGTGTAGTTTTCCCCCATTATGCCAATGGAGAAACCAAGGCCTAGGGAGGGAAAGGACTCACTCACTGAGGTCTCATAGTGAGCGGGGCTGAGCTGGGCCAGAACCAGGCCCCTTCCCACCAGCCCAGGAATCTTTTCCTGTCCATGTCAGAGAATCACAGACCTGCGTGGTTTGGGGTCTAGGTAGAGTGGTGGGAACCCTCCAGCTCCTGGTGGAGTGTGGAATGGCCTTTTCTCTGGTTCCTGAACCTTTGGCACTCCTTGCTGGGGTGACCTGGCCGGGGTGGGGGCTGCGGGCGGCCATATCCCTCAAGGAGACACTTACTGCCATAGTGAAAACCCATCATGCTTCCCGACTTGTTCTCAGTCTCGCTGCGATAGGATCCCTGGTGGAACTTGCAGGTGTGCTGAGCTCCCTGCTCTCCGGATACACTGTGCACCTGCCCTCTGGGTGCAGAAGTGTAAGAGTCTCAGCAATTTTTACAGAAAAATTAGAGAAGCCAGACCAGCTTAAGTCCAGCATGCTTCCACTTGTGAAAAAACCAAGCAGGTGTGTTGGGAGGTGGCACGTACGTATATTCTTGTGTGATTGAATTCCGCCTCGTGATGGGGTCACAAGAAGGTGGTTAATAGTAATTGCCTCTGGGAAGGAAGAAGGAGAACCTCGGGCAGGAGGTCTTCCTGTTTCCAGTTGTCTACCCCATAGAATTCGTGGTATATATATTTTTTTCACCATTCACAAGTATAATTTTTTAATTTAAGAAATTAATTTTTACCAAAGCAGTATGGGGAAGCAAAGAGAACAAAAAGGGAAATCAGCTGGAATCCCGAACCAAAGAATCACTGTGGCGCCTGACTTTCCAGATTGTGCGTGTGCATGCGTGTGAGTGCTACAGGTGTACGTGGAGCGCCCCAATGAAGTATACACGTCATATTTTAACAGTAGAATGGGAAGACATTATTACCCAAGATCTGTTTGGATTTCTCAAAGTCACAGATCTTCCTCTTGGGTTAGTAACTCTGAGAAGGATTTACGTCTCGTTGGGATACTTGTGTGGGTCTTTGTTGTTGGACAGTCTGCTTTCTGTGCTTAGTACATTGGGAACATATTCTCGGTCATTAAATACCCTCTTCCCGTGGTCCTGTGATGACCCAGGCTCAGGGCGTGCTCAGTCCCAAGAAGCTAGCTCTGGGCTCAAGCTTCTCCCCAAGATACGCTTCTCCGTGTCCCCCCGCAGAGCTCACCCCCAGCTCCTCTCCTCTCTGCTTTTCCTGCAGCTGCAGAAACTCCTCCTCGCCACGTCCCACCCGTCCTCAAGCTCCGATACCCAGAAGGAAGGGACCACCTGGCGCCAGGCAGGCCTCAGGTCCAAGAGTCAGCGGCCTTGTGTTAAGGTATTTCTGCCCCCAAATCTCCCGAGGCCCCCAGGTGGGCTTTGAGGGGTATAACCTTCAGCTCTATATCAGGGGGTGTCAAGTTCAGTCGACTTGGGGTTTTCCTCCTTGTGCCTCACACAGCCCTTGTAGCTGGTGTGCTGGGCACTTTCCAGTTTGGGGTTCTAGAAAAAGCCCCGGACTTTCTCATACACCTCAATGTTTCAGGCGCCGTGTTAGACATTGGGTTAGAGCAGGGACAGGGAAGGTGTGGCCTGCTTTCAGCGGGCTGATTCTAACGGGTGATACACAGAAACATGAGATCCTTGCAGGTTGTGGAGACCACAAGAAGGTGTTTGCCTTTCTTCTGGGGGAAGCCCTTTGAGAGTCGAAAGCTCTGTCGCAAACACCAAGGAGTGAAGCAGATCCCTTTTCCTCCTTGGATTCCATCTTCTAAGACTTTCAACGAGCGATTTCATAGGTGATCTCCTAGCATTCCTGTTGCTCAAAGCCTACACTCCGTCCTTCCCCTCTGGTCCCTGGACACTCCTGCAGGGGGCTCTTGAACACAATCCCATGCCCTCGGGCAGAATCAGGATTTTTTTTTAACGGCTTTATGGAGGTGTCACTTAAATATCATAAAAGGCACCTATTTTTAAAGTATAATTTGATGATTTTCAGTAAATCTGCAGAGTTGCGCAGCCATGACCACAGTTCAAAGTTGGTGGATTGATTGATTTTTTTGAGAGAGGGAGAGAGAGAATGTGAAGCAGGCTCCACGCTGTCAGCACAGAGTCTGATGTGGGGCTCGAACTCATAAACCATGAGATCATGACCTGAGCTGAAACCAAGAGTCAGACACTTAACCGACTGAGCCACCCAGGCGCCCCATCCATGACCACAGCTCAGTTTTAGAACATTCCCATTATCCCAGAGAGATCTCCGGCACCCTCATTTACAGTGAATCCCTGTTCCCAGGCCCAGGTGCCATTACCGAAGGGTATAGCTCAGGGGAGCGGGTGGTCAGAGGAGGGCTTTGTCAGTGAACCCACGAGGGCGAAATCTATGGATGGGAGGCCTGTTAGGAGGCTGGTCGCTCCTTTGTTCCTTATCACCTGAGCATTGCCAGGTGCCACACGGGGCCTGGCCAGTGGCTGCAGGAGGGGGGCAGAGTGGAGGGGGGCAGTGCGGGCCTCCCTCTTCACTCTGGCCTCTCTCTGTCTCTAGATGGACGGCACCCAAGACAAGAAGGTCCCCACGGTGCAGTCTCAGAGCCGGAGTTGTACGGAACTGCATAGGCACCTCACTTCGGTGCCCTCCTGCCCCCAGACTAAAGCCCGCTCCCCAGACAGGGGCTTGCAGCCGCCACCCGCTCTGAGCCCCCAGCTCCCAGCCAAGGAGGATGAGGAACCCGGTGAGGACTGCCCGAGCCCCCAGCCGGCTCCAGCCTTGCCCCAGGACTCCCCGGCACCGGGCAGAGCGCGTCCCGGCACCCAGGTTTCCCGGGAAGACATGCACGCCGTGGTGCAGCTCATTCGCTACATGCACACCTACTGCCTCCCCCAGAGGAAGCTGCCCCCACAGGCCCCAGAGCCAGCCCCCCAACCCTGCAGCAGCCCCTCCAAGCAGGTCAAGCCCCAGCCTCGGTCCCAGCACCCTTCCAAAGCCTCCTGGGCTGAGTTCTCCATCCTGAGGGAACTTCTGGCTCAAGATGTCCTCTGTGACGTCAGCAAACCCTACCGCCTGGCCACACCTGTCTATGCCTCCCTCACGCCCCGGCCAAGGCCCAGGCCCCCCAAAGACAGCCAGGCGTCCCCTGGCCACCCATCCCCCGTGGAGGAGGTGAGGATCACAGCTTCTCCCAGGAGCACAGGGCCCAGACCCAGCCTGCGCCCGCTGCGGCTGGAGGTGAAAGGACGCGCCAGCCGGTCGGCCAGGCTGCAGCAGCAGCAGGAGGAAGAGGACGAGGAAGAGGACGAGGACGAGGAGGAGGAGGAAGAAAAAGAGGAGGAAGAGGAGGAGGAGGAATGGGGCCGGAAAAGGCCGGGCAGAGGCCTGCCGTGGACCAAGCTGGGGAGGAAGCCGGAGAGTTCCGTGTGCCCCGTGCGGCGTTCCAGGAGACTGAACCCGGAGCTGGGCCCCTGGCTGACATTCTCCGATGAGTCTCTGGTCCCTGCAGAGCCCCAAGGAGCTCTGTCCTCACTGCACCTGGCTCCCGAGGCCTACGACATGGAGGGGGCGCTGGGCAGCCCCACGGATGAGGACAGTGGTCAAGACCAGCAGCTCCCACAGGGACCCCAGATCCCGGCTCTGGAGAGCCCCTGTGAGAGTGGGTGTGGGGACACGGATGAGGACCCCAGCTGCCCACGGCTCCCTTCCAGAGGTAGTCGGAGTCGGTGGTCTGTAAGAGAGGGGGCAGGGATGGGGTGTGGCATACCCCACTGCGCTGGGAGCCAGGAGCCCTGTGTTGGGCAAGTCCCTTCCCCTCTCCGGCTGTCGACTTCCCTTTCTGTGCAATGGGCTAGTTGGGCGGATCTTCAGAAATCACCCACACATCTCTGAGTTTTTCATCACGCATGGGCCAGGCACCACTTAATGAACACGGAGCGAGATGCCTGCCCTCATGGGGCTTTTGTTTCAGTGGGGCAGACAGGCAATCACAAAGTAAATAAAAAAGGAAGATAATTACAAATGGTGCTAAGTGCTCTAAAGAAGACGTCCTGGGTGATGGTGTGACGAAAGGAGTGAGTCTATAAATCTAGCTCCATAATGACGTTGAATTTTATTTTATTTTTTTTAAGTGTATTTATTTATTTTTGAGAGAGAGAGAGAGAGAGAGAGAGAGAGAGAGAGACAGTGAGAGCACAAGCAGGGGAGGAGCAGAGAGAGAAGTGGGGCGGGGGGGTGGGCGGCGGGGAGAGACGCAGAATCCGAAGCAGGCTCCAGGCTTTGTGCTGTCAGTGCAGAGCCCAGCGCGGGGCTCGAACCCACAAACCGTGAGATCATGACCTCAGCCGAAGTCGGACGCTCAACAGGCTGAGCCACCCAGGCGCCCCTAATGACGTTGAATTTTAAATGGTAACAATGGTAGAGCTGGTAATAACAGGTATCTATTGTGTATTTGTTGTGCCAGGCACTGGTCTAAAACTTGACACAGCTTATCCCCAGTGACTCCTCACAGGGGGCCTGTGTGGCAGGTACTGTCATAATCTCCATTGCACACACAGAAACTGAGGCACAGAGATTGAGCCGTCCATTCAGCCCTCGAGTCCTACATCCATCTGTGGACCAGCCCTGAGCCCCTGGCCTTCCCTGGGGCTCCCCACCCTGCTGTACTATACTGTTTGGCCAGAAGGGGTCGCCCTCGTACCTACCTGCTCTTTCCCAAACCTTGAGTAGTCTGCCAGGTGTTAATGTTGCTGAGACCCTGCGAATGACGGTGACTTTGAGTTGTTCCTGCCCTTCCCTAAAAGTGAGAGAGGATTTTGGGTCACATGCTTGAAGGGAGCTCTGCCTGGTACCAGTGGAAGCTCGGGGTCTCCTCCAGAGGGAAACATCTGGTAGTGATGACGTGTTGGGGAATCTTATTTTCTTCTTTTTCGTCTTCTTTTCAGACTCTCCCAGGTGCCTCATGCTGGCCTTGTCACAAAGGTAGATTTTTGGAAATCAGTGGTTTATTATTTCATGAGTCTGTGTCCTGTTGGGTGTGTGTATGGCGGTGGGGGTTGGGTGGTTCATCAGCCCGTGAGCCTGCCCCTGCCCCCCATTCCCCTGCCCTCATTGCCGTGCGGAGCCCTTGGTAGCCGGGCTCCCTTAGAAGGGAGGTCTCTGCAGGCCCAGGAACGTAAGGAATTAAGGGTTCAGGCCATTTCATAAGCTGTCCTCTTCAGAACCTGGGAAGGAATTACTTTCTTCACGGGGGAAAGGTGATAATGCTCCGTGGCTTTGGGCAAGTCTCCTCCTCACTCGGGGTGTCAGGTCTGTAAAATAAGCGGGGTGCTGATGCTTGTCCTGTCTCCACCTTCCAGCAGATTACTCCTGTGTGTCCTCCAAGAGTGATAGGCTGCTTTGAACTCTTCTAAGCCAGGATGGGGGTCTCCCGGAAAACTCCCCAGCACCCACCTCTGTGGGCAGTAGAGCCGGGCTCTGTCACGGTGCCCCCTTGCCCTCCTTGCATGCTGGGAGAAGTGGAGCCTTCTGCTGACTGGCCTCTTTCCTTTCTGTCCTCCCCGCCCCCACCAGTGACCCTCCTTTTGGCAAGAAGAGCTTTGAGCAGACCTTGACGGTGGAGCTCTGTGGCACGGCAGGTGAGCCAGGGGCTCAGCTGGTAGGGTGCCCTCGGGGGAGCTGGTATGACTTCCGGCAATGAGTCCCCCCACCCTGAACAGCCCCTCGGGCAGTTGTGGGGGGTGCCCCACTGAGCCCTCCCTGCCACCGCCGCTCGGGCTGCACAGGGTCTTGGGATACCTAATGAGGGTGCTATAAGGGGGAGAGTCAGCCGGTCAGCTGCAGCAAGCCGCACATGAGCTAAGGGAGAGACACACGTCTTCCCCCGAAGGAGCCCGCAGTGTTATGTGGGAGACAGGCTCCCACCATGACGGGTGCTGTTGCAGACGTGTTGGTTCAGGGTATGTACGAGAGCGCCGGAGCATGGAGGAAGGGGCGAGGTGGGGCAGGGCAGGAGTGTGGCCTGGGAAGATTTGCAAGGCATCCAGAGCAGGGGGCTTGTGAGCCGGGCTCGCAGGATAGGCAGAGGCTGGAGAGAGGAGGCAGCGAGAAGTAGATCCCTGGCAACAGAATCTACAGGAGCAAAAGGCACCCAGGGTGAAAGCCTTAGGTGCTCCTGAGGAGAGGTGCGCCTGGCATCACCACATCGCGGAAGCGGAGGAGGGGCCGGAAGGAGCAATCACAGAAGGCCGAGAGGGATGCCAGGCTGAGAGTTTGAGCTTGATCCTGCAGGCTTCAGGAGCCCCAGACGGGAAGAGATCTCGGGCATTTAGCAAGTTTCCTCTGCACTGGGGCGGATGGAGGCCAAGGTCAGATGCAGGAGCACTAATGGCACCGTGGGGGTCCAATCCAGGTGGGAGGTTTGACCTGCGGTGCCTGCCTTTAAGCTCCCTGGGGAGACATCAAAACAGTAGGGAGAGCTGGTCGAATGATTGGATGGAGAGCAGGAGGAGATATCTCGAATGACCGGGAGGCTTTGGCTACCATTGCCGGGCTACAGAGGGATGGCAAGTGGATTTTGTCACATGCCAGCTCAAGAACTAACCGTGGGCTGCGTGAGTCCCAGGCCACGTTCAGGCTCAGCCACCAGTGCGGTGTTCGATTAGTGATGCCTGCCATTCATTGGGTTGGGAATGTGGTGGTACATACACCGCTTATCTGCCATCCCAAACCAGACCCTCTGTCCCTTGGAGGAGTGACCCGTTTCCACCTCACACGGTTCTCCTCTTGCTTGGCTAGGACTCACCCCGCCCACCACACCTCCGTACAAGCCCACAGAGGAGGACCCCTTCAAGCCAGACATCAAACACAGCCCAGGCAAAGACAGAGCTCCCAGCCTTCCCAGCTTGGAGGGCCTCCAGCTCGAGGCGGCCGCGGGGGCTGCCCACAAGCTGCCAAAGAAGCACCCAGAGCGGAGCGAGCTCCTGTCCCACCTGCGGCATGCCACAACCCAGCCAGCCTCCCAGACTGGTCAGAAGCGCCCCTTCTCCTGTTCCTTCGGAGACCACGATTACTGCCAGGTGCTGAAGCCAGAAGGCGCCCTGCAGAGGAAGGTGCTGAGGTCCTGGGAGCCGTCTGGGGTCCACCTTGAGGACTGGCCTCAGCAAGGTGCCCTCCAGGCCGAGGTGCAGGCCTCCAACAGGGAGGAAGACAGAAGCCGTGATGCCAGCGCCCCCGCCAAGGACAGTGTGCTACTGCGAGACCACGAGATCCGCGCCAGCCTCACCAAGCACTTTGGGCTCCTGGAGAGCGCCCTGGAGGACGAAGACCTGGCCTCCTGTAAGAGTCCTGAATACGACACTGTCTTTGAGGACAGCAGCAGCAGCAGTGGTGAGAGCAGCTTCCTCCTTGAGGAGGAGGAGGAGGAGGAGGACGATGAAGAAGAGGACTCGGGGGTCAGCCCCCCTTGCTCTGACCACTGCCCCTACCAGAGCCCCCCCAGCAAGGCCGGCCGGCAGCTTTGTTCCCGCAGTCGTTCTAGTTCCTGTTCTTCCTCCTGCCGCTCCCGGTCACCAGCCGTCCGAAGGACCTTCAGGTATGGATGGGTGGCCTCAAGAGGGACAGCGGGCAGCCGACGACCCCAGTTCCCAGGGTGCCAAGGGAGGGAGGAGCCCTGAAACTGGGGCTGAGTCTCTCCGTGTGGCCTATGTCCTGGTCAGAGGCCCTGGAGGTGGTCTCCCTGGGAGAGTTGTGGGGCAAGTCCTGGAGGCAGGCAAAGCCTGCCGTGTGGCAGTCAAGAGTGACCCAAATCTCTTGGCCCCGGGAGAGGAAGAATACCCACTTCCTGGCTGCTTGTGGCTTTATGTCTAAATGAACTTGTCCCTTATTCATCCATTTCCTGCTTTGGACCCAATTTAATGTCTATGTGACCCTTGCATGTCAAAGGCAGATTAGCAGAACTCTAATCTTCGTTCTAAAAATAAGACCCGGATTTAAAGCAGCAGTAAGGTTATTCCCATCTCTTGGTCCTGCTGAGCTGTGTCAGGACTTCCAGCCAGTCAGTTGATCCCCCGGGAGCCGCTCCACCTTCGCACGGGGATGATGCATCATGAGCCTGTTTGCTCAGACCATCTTGGCTCAGTGAACTGGTCTGAAAGAAGGAGCTGGTCCAAAAGTCAGTGGGGAGCTGGGCAGAAAGAATGGAAGTTTGGCGCATTTTGGTGGAGTCAGGTTGCTTCTTTCCCTGATCACAGCAGGACCTGACCTGACCTGGGGAGGCCTAAGCGGGGTCAGGGCATGTCCCAAATCCTCTGCCTGCCATGCACCCGAGTGACCACTAGATGGTGCACTTGGGTCTAGAGCCATGCAGCAGCCACCTGGAGTGCTTGTTACCTTGCAGCTGCATGGACCCCACCCGCCCGGTGTCTCAATCTGTACGGG